AGCGGGGATCGATGCTGAGGGGTGCGTTGAACTCTATAGAAACGAAACGCGTAGCCCCAGTAACCAGAGGCAGCTCTGTTTTTATTTGTAGCTGCTGCAGCAGCTGCTGCTGCTGCAGCTGCTGCAGCTGCTGCTGCTGCTGTTGTTGTTGCTGCTGCTGCTGCTGCTGCTGCTGCTGCGGCCACGCCATCCTGCTGCTGTTTGTCTGTCTTTGTGGGGTTTATTTATTTTCTATAAACCCCCCATCACCGGCGTGAGGTGTACATACACCCCAAAGAGACAAACAAATAAAACAAAACAACAAAAAACTAAAACCAACAAAACAATCCGCTTATGGTGATGATGATGCTGCTGCTGCTGCTGCAACAGTTGCTGCTGCTGCTGTAGCAACACCAACTGGTGGTTCTCCTGCTGCTGCTGCTGCTGCTGCTGCTGTTGCTGCTGCTGCTGTTTGGAGTCAATTCGTCCCGTCCGGTGCCCTCTGCTCTCGCTGCTTTTGCTGCTGCTGCAGTTGCTGCTGCTGCAGTTGCTGCCGTTGCTGCTGCTGCTGTTGCTGCTGCTGCTGCTGCAGCAGCAAGCGTAGAACTGTCGCTACCTGTGCTGTCTTTATGGGGGTCGTTATCTTGCTATTGCTGCAGCAGCTGCTGCTGCTGCTTCTGCGGTTGCTACTAGTGCTGCTGCTGCTGCTACTGCTGCAGCAGCTGCTGCTGCTACTGCTGCTGCTGCTGCTGCTGCTGCTGCTGCGTCTGTGTCGCCCGTGCACACACACCGTCTGCGGGCTGCTGCAGTTCCTCAGGCCTCATGAGAGGGTTTGGGTTTCAACTTTGCAAAACCCTAAACCCTAAACCCTAAACCCTAAACCCTAAACCCTAAACCCTAAACCCTTGTTTGCTTGCACAAGGTCCAACAGGCTGGGTGGAGGGTTTCGGTGCTGCAGTGAGACGATGAGTTTCAGCTGCTGCTGTTGTAGCTGCTGCTGCTGCTGCAGCTAGTGTTATTCTACCAGCAGCAGCTGGAGCTGCTGCTGCTGCTGCAGCTGCTGCTGCTGTCGGCTGCGCTTGCTGCTGCTGCTGCAGCAGGCAATCACCAAGCGGTGTTGCAGCAACAGATGAGGGTGTTGGGGATCCCTCTGCTGCTGCTGCTTCTATGTGAGGGCTCCAGTGAGCTGTATGCGTGAGCAGCAGCACAAGCAGCAGCAGCAGCAGCAGCAGCAGCAGCAGCAGCAGACGGACGCCCAGCAGCAGCTACGCGCTGCAGTGTGCCTGCGTAGTAATAGAGNCAGCAGCAGCAGACGGACGCCCAGCAGCAGCTACGCGCTGCAGTGTGCCTGCGTAGTAATAGAGAAGAAAAAACAAACAAAAACAGAAGAAAGGATCAAAGACAAAACCAACAACTCACCCCTTTTGCATCATAACACAGCCACGCAGCAGCAGCAGCAGCAGCAGCAGCATGAACCAGCTGCTGCTGCTGCTGCTGCAGCAGCAGCAGCTCCGCAGACCAGCAGCAGCTGCTGCTGCAGCCGCTGCAGCAGCAGCAGTATCGTCCGTGTGTGAAAAAGATAATATTTCATTGTTTTTGTTTTTTATTTTTGTTTTAGTTTTGTATATTCTTTTATTTTTTTATACAGCAGCTGCATATACACCCCAATCGTTGCCGCTCCCCCTGCTGCAGCACCGCAGCAGCCTGTCGAGCCCAACCGTCGATGCAGCAGGTGGACCGTGGGGTGTATAGGCAGCTCTGAAAGCTCCCGCATCTTCTTTTTATTTTTATTTATATTTTTATTGTAATATAAAGACACTACAAACACCACAGCAGCAACAGGCTGCCGGCTGCGACACCCCGGGAGCTGCAGTGACACCGCAGGAGCTGCAGTGACACCCCAGGAGCTGCCTGTACACCCCANCGACACCCCGGGAGCTGCAGTGACACCGCAGGAGCTGCAGTGACACCCCAGGAGCTGCCTGTACACCCCAACCTGTTGCTGCAGCTGCAACCACATAAAAATAATAAAATATTATTAAAATATTAATTTTGTATATATATCTCAGCTCAATAAGAAGAAAAATATTTAATTAACACCAGCATCCTGCTACCTATAACAAACCCAGGTGTACATACACCTCACCTCTGCTGAGGTGTACATACACCTCAGCTCCCCCGGGCGTCGTCACCTGTATGTGTTGGGGTGTATACGCACACCTCCCTCACTCTAACATTCCTTGTACACATCTCGCTGCATTGATCGTTGTAGAGTTTAGGGTTTAGGGTTTAGGGTTTAGGCTTTAGGGTTTAGGGTTTAGGGGACAGTTCACGAGGGCGTGTTTTTCACTCAGATATAGGGTTTAGGGTTTAGGGTTTAGGGTTTAGGGTCTAGTATATGCGGTGCTGCCTCTCATAGAGTGCAACACAGCAGAGGCTGAAGCTGCAGCTCCCCAGCATCATCACTATCATTATCATCTGCTGCTGCTGCTGCTGTTTGTGCTGCTGCTGCTGCTGCTGCTGCTGCTGCTAGTGCCCTTGTTGCTGCTGCTGCTGCTGCAGCGTTGGGAGGCGCCTCTCCTAGGCTGCAGCCGCCCACCGGCACTGTCGGCTAGCTAGCTCCTCCATGGAGGGGACAGACAGCCGTTAGAGACAGAAGGGGGAGGGGCCCATCGGGGCCCCCTAAGGAGAAGAGACAAAGGAGAGAGGAGGGGCCTCTGGGGCTTTTGTTGTTTGTTGTTTTTTTTTTTTTTGGTTTGTTTTAGAGCTTGTTGGGGGTGTTGTTGCGCTGTATAGGCAGGTGATAGTTTTTCTGTTTTCTTTGCGTTTACTCTATCTTTTTTGTTTTATTTTTTTATTTTTTTATTTTTTTGTTTTATTTTTTATCCATCATCATTTTTTTGTTTTTATATTTCCTTCTAAGAGAGAGAAAGAGAAAGATGAGAGTATATAAAAAATAAAACGGCAGAAAATATTAATTTTTTTTTTTATTTTTTTTTTTTATTTGTCTTGTTCTTTTTTTTGTTTTTGTTTGTCTCAACAAGTAAAAAACAAAAAAAGAGAAACACGATAAATAAAACAACTAAAAAAAAGAAAAAACCAAAATAAAAAACAAACAAAGAAGGAAATAAAGGAGAAAATAAAGAAACAAAAGGAAAAATAAATAAATAAAATAAAAAATAAATAAAAATAAATTA